AAAATTAATATGACTTATATTTTTAGATATTATTTCCTTTACCAATTGTTCTTTTTCTGCAAATGTATTATACATGTGCAATTTAAGAGTATTGGAGCATATTGATTTTACAGAACAATCAAGATCACTTATAAAATTTTTAAAATCATTAGAATTAATAATTTTAAAAGGAATATTATGATTTATAAATAATTTTAATAAATTATCCTTAAAATTAATTTTTTTTGAAGAATTTGGTGTAAACTTTAAAAAAAATGTCAATTTTATTATTTTTTTTACTAAGGTGTGAATGAAACCTATTATAATGATTAATAAGAGGAGATGTTGTTTTGCCTTTACATTTTATAATACTCTTGCAATGATCGCAAGCAGCCTTTTCACTATCTTTAAGGATTTGATATTGATCCCATATGATTGCTCTCTTTTGTGAGGAAATTTTCTCATCTTCAACATCAAGCATAATTTCATCAGAAGCATTCTCCTCTAACATAATTAGGCTAGCTAACAATAATTATTGTAGAAATGTGATATATTTTTATGTACCTCTGGTTTGTGTAATTTTTAATATAATTTATTATGAGATTCAAAAAATAAACTTTTCGTGAGATTCAAAAAATGTGGCAAATAAAAATTTAAATTTTCACTTCAGAAATTTTTAAATTTGTGCTAGAATTTTTATAAACACAAACACATCACCTGTACGATTGGCAGGTCAACAAATAGAAATGACAAATGTTAGATTTATTAAACAATTTATTAAATATTACGAATAATTCGTTTTATTCGAATAATTCGTTTTATTCGAATAATTCGTTTTATTCGAATCGAATAAATGATTATTCGTATTCAGATAAAACAAATAATTTATTATTCGTAATTATTCGATTAGATTCGAATTATTCGAATCGAATCGAATATTCGAATTATTTTTGAATAGGCCTAATTTGAAATAAGTATAAGAGATTTATTTATAAAAAGTAAGTAAACATATTGTTTATAATCCTCTATTAGATATAATTGGTTATAAAATATAAGGTTAAATACCACTTTTACAGACGTATTTGACAGTTATATAATATATTACAGTTAATATTTTAATAAATTTTACTAATAAATGCTTTTGATAATAAATATATGTAATAATTCTTTTCAAAATTTAACACCATCTATATAGTTAAAATAATTTTAAGTTAAACATTTTATTATTCATTCTACAATGGATGTAATAAAATAGATATCTTTTCTTCTCTTTTTTTACATGTTTTTAGCTATTTTTTTCTTTTTCGAAAAACAGTTTTGAGTTAAATTTTTAATACAAGTATATTTTTGATATTATTACAAACCACAATTATTTAAAGATACAATATACCAAATAGAGGTGGTGCGACAATATTATATAGAATCTTAATTTATTCATCATATCACTCTGTTCCTTATTTTATGGGTATAAAATGTTTCATTTCTAATATGGCATCCTTGTCGTGTAAATAACTCAAGGCTTCATTATATTTGCATAATTATTTCTTCCAAATATTTTTAGTGTTTTTATTTTATCAATTTATTTAACTTAATAAATTCTGATATTAGTTTACATCGTGAGTGTCATGTCTATGACTGCAAATTAACCAGCATCTATTATTTGTATTTATGTAATTTAAGATTATTACTACAGCTGCTGAGAGTATATGATTTCATATTTTAGATAAACACTAATAATCAACTGTGTAGTCATTTATATACCATTAAAAATGGAAAATAATCTTTTAGAAATTTAATATCTCACAATAATTTTCTCGATTACTTATCTAGCTTCCATGATGTCATTCTAAGAGGAAGCTCTAACCAACATATAGTTTTATGATTTGGATTGATCGTTTATCTCTTCTTCAATATTGTTAATTTGGTTTAGGCCTATAAATTTTTCCTTATTAGTCCATTCTATAAAACATTGTCTAAAATGGTAACAGAAGTTATATTATTTTCATAATCTTTTGTCAATGCAAGTTGCTAAGATTTATATTATTGCATTATGTGGATTTTAAAAACTATTATCAATGGAGGCATAGGCATATGTATTATGAATAAAATAACCTTTTTTATCACTTGTAATTCTATAGACGCAAATTTTTTTATATCAGCAAAAATATTTTTTACTGTTATAAATAGATTTTGTATTAAAAAATATTATTTTTAAAAATGTCTTGTATTGTTTTAATTATTTATATGCTTGTTTATTTTGTATGTATAATATAATAAATGACAAAATATTGAATTTAGAATAATTGTTCAGAGTTAACAAATTTTAAAAATGTATAATATATTAATATAGAACCAGGCCGAAGGCCCGCAAATTGGGAGGCAGGGGGGGGGGCGAAACCCCCATAAGATTTTTTTTTAGTTGAGTTCCCTGAAATTGTAAAGGCTATCGACGCCCCTGTTGTTTTGTACGCTTTTTTTCTCATTTCCAATTCCAAAAAACTGGAATTTTATTTGGGTGAAGGGTAGGGGGGGGGCTATCTGGGTTTTGACTAAAATATACAACGTGTATCACAATTACAATATTTAACTAGCTTCCCAAAACTCGAGCCTTTCGGCTGGACTTTTACTTTGTTTCTAAACTCAGACTCGGTTGAGCTGTAAGAGATGCCGAGGCAAGCTCGACCCAACCTCAATAAACTTTCTATCAGCAAAAGGTCAATCAAAATCACATGTTATTTTTAAACATACGCATAACATTTAATTCATTCAAATATGTAGAATTTATTTCTTAAAATTAATAATATACTATATATGCGAGGTAAATTAGTTTGTTAAAAAGACGTATTCGGATTTTTAAAAACGATCACTACCAAAATAATATTATGAGAATGGTTTAGACATCTGCCAAATATCGAAGGTCTACTTATTATTATTTTGGCTAAAATTTTAATCGGATTGCTTAATAAATCAACCCAAATCAGAATTTTTAACACTAGTTTAAAAATACTTTTAAGATGGCAGTGAACAAATGCAATAAAAAATTTATTTTTTTAAAGATATTATAATATTCAAACTAAATTTCAGAATAATTTAAATTTGGGGATCGGGTTGTTCTGGGACAAAAAATATTTTGCTAGGGTTTGGCGACCATGAAAAATCACGTTATAGGGCTCTAATCATAATCCATGGATGGCATTCTGCTATATAGTAAATAATTTTTTTGAATTTTTCAAATATATATTAACCTCATCCAGCGTCCATATTTCTAGAATTGTCTAAAAAAGCAATTTAAATTTCTAAGAAAATATATAATATCTAGAGACATCTATATTAGCCTGACATTTATTAGTGAGCTTTTAAAAGTGCACAAACAATGAAGTTCTGCATTGAAATACTTTTAAACGAAATTGTTAAAACCTTGATTTGGCCTATTTTTAAAACGAATATATCAAGATTTTTACCAAGACTTCTCAGAATAGGGATATGTTATTCTTACATCTTTTGGTAAAACTTAGTTATTAATAATTTGTCTAAAATCTTAATTTCATCTTTTTTTAAAGAAATCGAGGTATTTAGCAACGCAACTCCAATCATTTTATCGAATATGTATTTTCAATTTCACATTTAGTCCTTGCATCAATCTTTATAGATGTAAGCCAACCCAAGTCTTAGCAAGCAATTAAATATGGGAAATTTTATTAGCAAAAGTTGTTTTTTAACAAAACCGTTAGTATTCTATACAAACAAATTAATTGCCTAACTTTTTTCACAAACCTATTAGCTCGAATAGAATGAGATAATATAATTGCTCACCATTTCATTTACGATTTATATTTATACATATATTGTGAAAAGTAATAAATATGCTCCTTGTTTAAGTTAGTATTAATTTTTTATCATTTCAAAGTCATAAAATTGTAAAATTTAACCTTGGATACAGTCAATTAATAAAATAAGAACTTACTGTTTGCTATATTTTAACGTCTTACTCAACAATTTAAATGGTACTATTTAAAAAGAATTATTTGCATAACGCATCGATATAATAATCCTATCTGGAAGCTGGGATCTATAAGTTCCCTAAAAAATTTGCATAATTTTACTTATTTTAAAATTATTTTTATATTTTCTTAAAAGGGTTCTTAGGTTAATGCAATATGTATATATTATTAGAATGCAATTTATGCATTAAATGTATTTAAAAGTGTATATACATTGGATTCAGCTGTAGTCTATTTATGATTTGCACGATTAAATGACATTAATATAATGACAAATAAAATAATTAGTCGACGAGCAAAGCACAAAATGATATTAAATATGTGATCTAAAATGGGCGGGTTTTTAGACAAAAAGGCTGACCTGATGGACTCTGGACACAATCTGATTTGAGCTAACGAAGTCTATGTGGCTAATTGACTATCTCTCAATTACAGGTCAAAAATCTTTTTTTTTTACTTAAACCATGATTGGAGCAACTAAGCCATCTCGATTCAGTCATTTAACAAAACTAGCCCAGATTTATCCACAATAATGAAAAGCTTTTTAAGGTCAACTGCATTCAGATCGAGTTTTAAACCCCAAATGAATATTGTTACATTATCTTCCAAAATCGGTTCGAAACGAAAAGTCCGGATCAATAGATTTGACAATATAACAAGATATTATTACCTTCAAAAACTCAATTTGAATGCATCCTACAGCATTTTTAAAAAAAAATTGGATTGAGCGGTCTGAACCGATCCGGTTGATCTTTACAAAATCTAATGTTCTGTTTAACATATGTCAAGGGAAAAGATAATCAAAAGTAAAAATAATAATTTGATATTTAGAGATGCACATTATATTGATCCAAAAATAAGAACTTCGCGTCAGTTCCCAAATGTTCTAAACAGAAAAATATAATGACTCGCTAAAAGGTAAAAGCAAATAAATAAATATTGAATTATCATTTTATTGAGAAAGCATTACATCAACATTTTAGAAGATGAGAAAAAATTCATTTAGCGAATTTATATATTATTTTATGATAAATTTTTTCTTAAAATGTTGCAATCAAAGACAATGTTTTACGTTAATAAATATTGTACAAATAAATATGCCTAATGTGATAAAGCTCATCGTGTTCATTTAAAGTTAAAGGTAAGAGGCAAGATACTCATTTCTTTAGCATATTCATCATAAGTGCGTCGTCGTCATCTGGGTATTCAAACTGTGGGATATATTCGCCATCAGCCCTATTAACAATAGGAGCTCCCCGGGAAAAGGCAGGGGGAACGAAATTTGCGTCATCAAACTTAGTCATTCCACCTAAGTCCATATCGTCTTCGGTGGGAAACTTTTTTTATAAATTAATTAAATAAATATTCATTTTTTCCCTATCCCCCTTTTTAAAATGGAAAATAATAACAACAGACAGGGAATAGATATCGTCATTTATTATTTCTAAGTAAATTGCTATCATTTCATAATAATCTATTATTTTGGTTGGGTTCAGAGTTTGAAGAGAAAAAAAATTGTTTTATCGTAGAAAAAATTACAAAAAATATTTTATATAAAAAGATCTGGAATTATAGGTAAAATTTAATCAAAACTTTTGTTAAGCTTTTTTTTTCAAAAAATCTTCATTAAAATAGATATTTAAATCAAAAATATCTGAAGATCTTTTATTTTGAAGAGCATTTCAAACTATGCACTTTTATAAATAATGGTGATCATTTGTAATTAAGATTTCGAAATTGTTTTTACGTTAAAATAATTTTATTTTTTTTTATAACAAAGAAAGAAACGATAATTTTTTTAAAAATGAGAAAAACATTCTCCCCTCCCAAAAGAACCGAAGAAAGTGGTCCTTTCCTAAATTGCATTCAATTTATATGATACAGAGTCGGAGTAGACCCGCAACTCTCCCAGCGGGTAGGGGAGGTGAGACGAATATCAGGAAATTATTTTTCATATGTTTTTTTGGGGGAAGAAGAGCTCAATATTGGGTCCCTGCTACAACATCTACACTACATATACATTAAATTGATTTGATATAAAACACAATTGCCGCCGGCCGAGAAATTTATCTTAAAATATTTTATGCCAATAAAAACATGGCCAAGTTATTTAACAAAAGTTCATGGTATTTATAAGCAATATTTCTGTTTAAAAAAAATGCAAATTATTACTACGACAGGTTGATCCATGGCAGATATAAACGGTTGTTCGGCGTCGGTCAAAGCGGGAGGCCCCTTTAAAATTTTTCTACCCCCTACAATAATAGGAGTTTGCGGGTCGTTGGCACCTTTTCTCTTACCCTTCTTACCCTCGTCGGCTTTACGCTTTGCTTCCGCGGCTTGTTCCATCAGCAATTTGTTTCGAGTCTCTACTATGCCTTTTTGAGGAAATAGATTAGAATTTAATTTTTTTATTAGCTCTAATCTATTTTCGACGCAACTTCCTTGTTTTTTTTAGACAAGGGATAATTGAGTTCAAAAATAGATTCGAGCTAAAAAAAATGTAAGAGTTTTTTAAAAAAAATAGTTTTGGATTTAAAAAAAATATAATATTTTGAACATATGATATGTTCATGATATGCAAGCAGTTAGGCTATAGATGCTATAATTTGTAAAAGATTTTATATAATTTAAAAAAATATATATACTTACGTGCAACTTTCCCATACACAAAAAACATAATCAAGCCAACGATTATGATAAAAATAATTATCCCCATAACAAATCCGATAAGTGATTCCTTAGTGGCTAATTTTTTTTAAATAATAATATTACAAGATTTATTAAATAATAAAAGTAAAAATTTATCAAACATATTACGCAATTAAATTTGTTTTAAAAATGAATATAATGGGAACTAGTGATGTAAAATAGAGCCATTTTGGCCGATTTTTAAAAGCGGCTAACTCATTGCCAGCCTGAAGATTTTGCTTATAGATGGGCAAAGGTTTGGTGGAGGGATTTTTCATCACTAGGGAACTGTGGAGAGAGTTAATTTTAAACCAGGGTCTACTAAGCGCGTTAGAGCTCTGCGCGGGTTGTCCAAAACCCGATCCGAACCGAACCTCGGACACTAGAACTTTTTTCTCGGGGGTTGTAAATAGATAAAACTGTTAACTACATATATATCATAATTCTATCAGGTTAGACAAAATGTTATATCGGTTTTGAAACATTATTCGATAATTGCTAAGCCTAGTTAAGGAGGTTAAATATACTTTTATTTGAGGTAGCAAATATGCATTTAAATTCAAATTCCAAATTTTTTTCGCAAAAAATCCTTATTTCAAGTTTCTGATTGGAGATAAACGCCTCCAAAAAATTTGATAAGTAAAAAAAACCGGACGAAATTCTTTTTTAGGGGGTAAGGTAATATTAAATATCAACGATTCCGGCTAAATATCTAATAATAAATATTTAAAAGAGAATGTGAAATTATTATTTATTTATTTATTTTAAGTGGGGAGGGGGGGGGTATAAATTTTTATGAGTCGCAAGTCTTTTTTTTAGAATTATAAGATATATCCATAATCATAAGGATAAGGATAAAATTTAATTCTCTTAACATTTCGTGGGTCCAGAATTGGAGTGTTCTATCTGCACTCTTATAATAAATCAGAAAAAAATAATCGGTTTTTAAAGTTTAAATGCCTTCCATAGATTAGCATCTATCATATAATGGAACAAAACCCCCCAAAATCTTACCATCAGCCTCATCGTGGAGGGGGGGGGCAATGTCTTTTGGCAAGCTAATGGTCTAAAAGGTTCCCTGTGGTCTGAGTCTAGAATATGATCACTGTCTCCTCGGGGTGTAAAAATCACCTAAAGAGGTTGATGTCAGGAAGGGCATCCGATTCCAAAAACCTTGCTACAAAATTTCCTAATGATTAAATCAGAAGGAAAACTGGCCAACCTGGTAAATCTTAAAATCGCCATTAAACTGAGAATATAATTAAACAAAAAAATTTACAGAAAGCTTTATTAAATATCATATTTTCGGGATATTTAGTTACTAATCAGTCAATCTTTTCAAGACATTGTCAAAATATAGGTAAGTGCATATATCAAAAAATAAAATCAATAATGATAATTATCAATTATTATTTCAATTATTATTTTTGGTTATAATTAAATAAAAATCCAAAAATTTTTAATAACCACATTATACTTTCTATATGTTTTCTATTTGAATTTTTTTTGAGCACTTCGAATAGAGTAGTTGTCAATCGATAAGGTAAAAAGAATCTCTATGAAGAGTGGGAGACCTGATTTAGACAACAAAAAAATGGGCATGAATATTTTAGTGTAGACCCACATGATTTCGAATTAAGTTCTAACTCAATTTTTTTTAATGTCAGATGGAGCACTCCAATCCTAAACTCACAACATTTCAGTTAGAATGTTTTTTTTATGTTCAAAATATATCGAAAACTAAGCATGACATTAAATTAATAGAATAATTTTTTATGATATATTCATATTATATAGAAATCGTAAAAATTACTGAATTACTGAAATAAGTTGATAGGAAACCCAATGACGGATCTAAAAGCATAAAATAATAAATTATATTTAAATATATTAAAAATAATTTATTTAGTTAAATATTTATCGGTAATTAAATATCAAAATATTATGAACAAACAATGCAATGTATTTTAAACAATTCAATTATCAAATGTATGATGCTATGTTGGTGTTAAGTGTATCATTATTCAAAATAAACGATTTAGGATGAAGCAAACTTTCGTAATGATATTGATATATATTACCTTCTCTCCTAGATAAGAAAATAAATTTAAAAAATCTCATTAAATTGCGTATTATTTAATAATAGAGTTGCAAAAAATACACAAAGCTATACGTATAAGATATGACTATGAGACGCATTGGTAAAGATTAAGTCATGACGATAAATAATTAATGAATTTACCCTACACTACATTTTGTTGAGAAGTCTTCATCAAAAGTTTAAATATTACAAAGGATATTATAGTAAAAAGATATTATAGTAAAAGGATATTATAGTAAAAGAATATTATAGTAAAGTGTACGAGATTATCTAGGAACTAAGTAAAATCAGCAACCACGTGCAAAGTTTTTTTTCTTAATAAAATACCTGGAAAGCCGCTATAGAATTTTATATTTGAATGTAACGGACAACGTACCTTTCTAATAAATAAAGTAAATGGAACGATTTTACCATTTTAAAGTAAACTGTACTGGAAATAAAAAGCTATAAGACAGGAGAATTAAACAGCTAATAAGCAGTACATAACATTGCGACCTGAATATGCACGCGTAGAATTTCGGGAAAAGTAATTTTCGCAATAGAGATGGAAGCCAAGGATGATCTGTTACTGCTTTCGTTTTATATTAAGGCAGAAAAGAACTTGTAGTTAAATAAAGAGAGAAAGAAGCGTTAACTTAACATCTGGGGTATATTACATTTGCGATTAAAGTTCAGCATATAACAAAAGGAGAAAATAAACTCTTAGTAACTTTACATATAAAACCAGGCTTATTATTTAAGTTAGCATTCTTAAATATTTAATATGCTGTCCAAAAAACTTTTTAAGACATAGGTAGAACTACTGATTTAAAAAAAACTGAAATTTTATATGGATTTGGGATATTTAAAAAGCCAAATATTAATTAATTTTTTAAAACTTTTATTTTCAACATAATAAAATCTTTATATGTACATATCAAGTGATTGATGAACTAGCTACTTTAAAAAAAGAATAAAATTGTAAGCGTTTGAATTAAATCAGGGGGATTCCTGAATTTTCTCCGCATATGTCTGAAGGGAAAAAATAATTTGAGGAGAGAAAAAAGCCTTTAACATTAAATTAGTCATATAATGGGTTATAATAGGATAGGGTGAGTTCAATATTTAATCAATGAACTATTACGACGTAATTATTAAAACCTGGCACAGACACCAAAATAACAGGTGAAACCGATTCTCCCAACTCGTTGTACACGATGCATTGATAGTACCCGCTATGTTTGGTGGAAACGTCCGGGAATGAAACGTATTCCTTCTTGATGTACGTTAGTTTATTTTTGCCTCCTGCCAGTGGCGACAGAAAGCTGAATATGTTTCCTATCGAAGAACCAGCCTTTTTCGGTTGGGAGGATTTTGGAGAAGTAGTGGAAACAATTGGGGAGCTAGAATAGGCCCATTTATAAAACGGAGGCGGAAAGCCGGAAGCACTACAGGTTAGATTTAGAGCGGAGCCGAATTTGACGATTAGCTCTCCCTCAGCCGAAATGTATTGAATCTTGGGGGGATCTATTATTTTTTTTTTGTTAAAATGTTTTATACAATTATAAATGGTAATCCTAAATAAGAAGGCCGATAAATGTAAATGTTTATTTAAATGAGATATTGTAAACGGCGTGTTTAAAAGATACCTTATATTATTAATACTTATCTAGACAGAAGATTCCTTTATTAAAGGTGTAAATACAATGAAGTCAGTTGTATTCAATAACATTTTCGTCTAAATGTCTTTAAATGGCGAACTCCGATATAATGTAAAGTTTTTAATGAATAAACATCAAGCAAGGTCAATATTAAAGTCATTGATCCTACATGAGAAAAGCGATAAAATTATAACGAATATATACTCTGGTTTAATTTGATGTAATATGTATTACTCAAAATGATGGGCTCGTTTTGATCGGACATACTTTCGTTGAGGTATACATAATTCGTTTTACAATATAGCGCAGTACCGGCATACTTTTGAGGCGAATTGATTTGCATGGAACTGCTTACTTTTTTGTCATCCAGAATGTCCGCTATCATGGGCTGACTTGATTCTGAGGTTATATCGTTAAAAGTCTTGACCCTGTGTGAAACGAATATTCGAGAATGAATAATATTATTATGAGTGAGTGAATGAATTCGCATGAGACAAAATTTAAATATGAGATAAAGAAGAAAAAAGGAATAAGGTAAGGGCTCGTTTATAGTATGCGCGTCTCGCTCAAGCAATGCGACAGCATCGATGGGTATTTTTTTTAAAAAGCAAGCAATAGGTAAATTTTTGATGAAATGAATTATATCGCTATGAATTATAAATTTACCTATTATCTGTTGCTTTTGAAAAACATATCCAGCGATACATGTCGAATCGCTTGAACGATAAGCACTTACAATATAGGAGGCCCAAGAAAGAGAAAATAAAAATGTAAATAAGGCCTCATTTATAGTAAACGGGTTATCTTCAAGTACTGCGTTATTATAAAATAAAGCCAATAAATTAGATTTATAAATATGGAGCGTCATGATGATAACGCTATGATAAAATTTGAAAAACATATGTTAAGATGCGTTCATAAAAAAATAATATGCGATACGATTATAAATAGTGAATTCGATAAAAAGTTATATGATTTTTCTTAAATATTATATAGAATAATTATATCTATTTTAATTTTATCTTAAATTATTTTTTAAAACTGAATAAGCTGTAATAACTCTGCATCAAATAATGCAACGAAAATAACGCGTTTTTTATTAATGCAGCCTAAGAGTTTACAAAAATAAAAGATGAGGGAGATTTTTTTCAAAGTACACATAATCAAGATTCAACAATGCTTATTACCATGATATGGTGGGTCTGACATAGCCTTCTCTACTCGTACACGTTAATATAAAATTGTTACCTATAGCGGGATCTGGCCTATTTTGTAAAGAAATTACGGGCTTATCGGGTCGTTCTAATAACAAAAAAAAAGGTAAATTTATATGCTTTCTTAAATTAACGATAAAAACAAACAAAAAAATAGCTAAAATTTTTTCTATAAATTGTGATTCGTATTATATATTAATCGGCCTGTCTAAGAAAATTTTGGGCACTCTTTTATTTTTCCTATTGACACGCCCAAGTGTCCTATTTCCGCATATTTTTTTATTATTAGCATTAGACACTAAAAATTTTATTCAAAATAATGAATGGGTGCCAATATGCCTATTTTTCATGGGGAAGGGTGAAGAGCATTTATAGTTTTTGGATAAGACTATCAAAAAATAATTGTATAATTGTGTTTCGCTTGAAAATATTTAGTATGTTATGTTAATCTCGTATCAGATATAAGTTAAACCCGTTTAACTCAGGATAATGATGTATAGCGTTGAACGTTATTGATTTTTTAAAATGTGTTTTATTAAAATATTTGATAGCGTTAGCGTCTTTGGCCTTGCATGTTTAGTGGGTGTATTGCATTCCAATAGTTCTGGGTTCGAATCCAGCAAAGATCGTGTTCTAAAGCCAACTAAATGGCTCCATCCTTGGGTAGGGGTGGAAATAAATATTTGCTTCTTTTATAAACTTTCTTTCTTTTTTGTTATAGATTTTTCTTTACAAATATAGATTAAAATATGCAAGAAACTTCTAACGAGTAGTTTCATATCGAAGGAACCCTTCATACTAGCTTTCCTGTTGCACACGCTTTCGTAAGTCCGTCTCCTATCTATGATTTGGAAGGTGAGCGTCATGTTATTCATGGAGATTTCGGGAGAGAAGATAGTAAATATGTAGCTCTTGGGATTGCCTTCGGTTAATTGGGCCTGATAGACGTTGTCTAAAAATGCGTTGGTGTTCAAATAAACGTCGTTAATTAGCCAGATAGTCTGGTAATCTTGGCCTGTATAGTTTTGGAGTATATTGAAAGTAATCTGAAGATTTCGTCCTTCCAGCGTTTCTATTATTGATGGAGGTTTAGGAGACAGAATGGTTCCTATGAAAAGAATAATTAAAGATAAGAAAGCATTCAATAGAAGCTATTTAAAAAATTAATTTATATATGTTAAAAAAAAATTTCCCCATACAAATAAAGATATTTTTAAATTTAATTTTAAATAATTTAAATGAATATATTAAAGAATATAAATATTTGTTATCAACACTTGAGAACATTTGTTAAGAAAAAAATAATTCAAGAGCATTCGCGGGGTAAATTATTGATCTAATATCATAATTATTTGAAAGTTTAATCCATCAGTGACAATCTCATAAGTTAATAGATATATGTAAAGTCTGGCCCGTTTTGGTCAGCTAAGAATTTTTGCATGAGTTACCTGACTCTGCGCGATAAATATTTTTTGAAAATTTGCCCTGCTATCTTTCAAAATTTTATAAAAGGCAGACCCTGTTAAAATTTATGAAAAGTCTGTTCCGCTCTGTTAAATTTTTTTTTGTACAAATTTTTCAGTCTCGTCACTTTAGAATATCTATATACTTTTTTTAAGCAGCTTATCTAATTACTCTATGACAATCTATTTTTTTAGAACAACAACTGCTTTATAATTGCGTTTGATATCTGTATTGTGTATTTGTAATTGGATCATATCATAAATAACTTGTTTAATTATTTGTCAATTTAATATATCATTTACAGATCAAATATTTTAGTTAGACTAACATAGCAAAATATTGCAATATATTTCTAATTAGTATTATTGAAAATTAAAAAATATATCAAAATATTAATGCCCGAACTTGGCCTATTAAAATTTTTGGGAGAAAACATAGCTGAGATTGTGTAACAATATATAGATATAAATCAAGATTAATGAAACAACAAAATTTTAAATTGTCTATATCAAGATATTTATTCAATAAAGAGCATGAAGCTACATTATACAGTTTCTAGTAAATGCATCTTAAATCTGTATGGGTCTTTGTCTCATGTAAATTCTCTTTTTGGGCACATGGATCCTGTTGCAATTTTAATCCATTCTTCATTTGTTTAAATTGTCAAAAATTTATTATAATTATTTTCAAATGCTCATTTTCATCAATAGCTGCAATATTATATATTTCATTTTTATATCTAATAATTAATATTTTTCATCTCAAAAGTGCCCCATGGGAAAGTGAATCCTTCCCCAAGTTTAGCTCATCCTTTCCCAAATTATTTTACTAAAAAAATTAATACTATTATTGCATAATAGTAAATAAGTGTAACAAATGAGATATTATTAATTCAATATTATCAAGTAGCTTTAATTTTATAGACGTTTGCCTTTTAGGGATCGCATTCTCCCCAGTCTCCCATAATAATGTTTTTTTAAACAAATTGATAATGATTATAAATCATCTTTAAAAGAGTCAAAATATTAAAAGGTCCAACCCAGTTCTACAAGTATTTCTAGAGGTTTTAGGTTTAGGTGACATATTTTTTAACAGTTTACGTTTAGTAAATAATAATTGTTAATATCAGTTCATCCCTGAATATATTACAACTATGAATATAAATGAAGAAGATTTGCTTATAAATTTTATAAAAGAAATTTAATAAGAAAATATTATAATTCGTGTTAGAAAAATATAAGCTCATTATTTATCTTTTAAGCTTTTGGTATTGTATTGAATAAGAAGAATAAAATTTATCAAGATCTATTTGTAATATATATTTATTAAATATTATTATTATAATATATTACCTTAAAAAATTTGAACAAATGAAGAATGATAATAATTATTGATGGATAATTTTTAATAAAGGTTTATTAAAACTTGGATTTAAATTTTATATAACTTTTTATATATGTCAAAAAAATAATGAAAAATAAAAAGGATGTTTAAATTGCATATTAAATAGCTAAAGATAGAGATATTCATTTTAATTAAGTATCTGAGATATAGATACAAAATACTTTTTCAAAATGCACAAAAAGATATAAGTTTTACAAGAATATCTTCTATTAAAAACAAGAATTTGCAATACTACCCAATACTACTCTGAAAATGATAAGGGAATATTCTGATTACATTTTTAAAAATCAAAAAGCTAAAATTATTAACATTAGCATGAAAATTTATAATTAACATATTGAATGGATTGTTTTTAGAAAATATTTTCAATAATAAATCATTAAAAAAATGTAATTCAGCCTTATACATATAACTTTTAAACTATTTAGTTCTGTCACTTAATTCAAAAATCTTTATATTTATTACATATCCAATCAATATTTCTATATTATTTTCTATTTAGGTAAATTTTTATATATTTCAATGATATATAAGTAAATCCTTTATCAGAAGTTTAAATGTTTAAACCTAGTTATATCTTTATCAGAAGGTTTAAATATTTAAAAGATCAAAATACCGCAATCCGATTCATCTGTCTGATCGTCCTTTGATTCTGGTGTACAGCAATCAACAATTTCATCACATTTCTGTGAAACTGAATAGCATGTTTTTGAAAATTTACAACGATATATACAAAATTTTGAATCTTCAAGAGTTATAAAGAATTCAATGTTTAAACCTATTATAATATAAATATATATTATTTTATATTAAAATTACATAATATGAAAGCTTTTAATAAACAAATCATAAATCATATTCGAAAAAATTTATTTTCGTAGCAAATTCAGACCCAACCTTGATCAAGTTAATTCCATATGGTTTATACTTGATAAAGCTCATTCGCTTTAATATTGCAGGTACAACAGAGAAGTTTGGTATTTCTCATTTCTATCTTATTGGTTATTAATAAATAAGAAGCTTTTACCAGGGGCGTCGCAAGCCTTAACAACCTCAGGGGACTCAACTAAAAAAAATTTTATGGGGGGTTCGGGCCTTCGACCGGGTTTTATATTAATATATTATACTTTTTTAAATTTGCTAACTCTGATAAATTATTCTAAATTTCGATTTTTTGTCATTTATTATATGCATACATAATAAACTCGCATATAAATAATTAAACAATATAAGACATTTCAAAGAATAATATTTTTTAATACAAAATCTATTTATTGTTTATTACAGTATAAAATATTTTCGATTGCTGATATAAAAATTTTGCGTCTAAAAAATTACAAGTGATAAAAAAACATATGCCTCAATTGATAATGGTTTTTAAAAACCACATAATATAATATAATTATTAGCAACTTACATTGACAAAAGGTCATGAAACTAATATAATTCCTATTTTAGACAATGTTTTATAGAATGGACTAATAAGGAAAAATTTATAGGCCTAACCAAATCAACAATTCTTGAAGAAGAAACGACCAATCCAAATCATAAAACTATATGATGGCTAGAGCTTCCACTTAGATGACATGATGGAAGAAGCTAGATAAGTAATTTAGAAAATTAATGTGAGATATTAAATTTCTGTTGATTAGTCTTATTTGAATATTATTTATTTTTAAAATATATTAACGTTATATCATTTGAATATCTTATATTATTTAAGTTGATTGTTTAATATGTACAAATTAACTTTTTTTTATATATATACTATGTTTTTAGATATAAAGAAATAATAATATATATAATAAAATATTTAACAAATTTGAATAAATAACTTCATGGTGCCCCGGTTACGGTGGTACGTTTTTCGTTTTTCTTTCTCTTTAAAAAAAAATAAATAAAACAAAGTAAAATAATAAAAGTTTAAAATATCCTTACCTTGAATTCTTTTGTAAAAATAAAAAGTAAACGAATTACTTATCAAATTCGTCGTTCGATATGGGAGATGATAAAAGGACAAAATAAATTTTTTTTGACTTTTCTTTTCGATAGTCAAAATGTTATCCAAATTTACAAAATTATAAAAGGTAAAAAAAATTTATTTAGAATAAATATAACTTGTTAACTTCTTGTTTCTTTTGCGCCCTGTTACGTTTTTGTAAAAAAAAAAAGAATAAAATATAGAAAATTTGCCTAAAATTAAAATAAAAAAGTATAAATTAAATTAAATTTGAAATTGATAACTACCTTATTTATTGATTTGACTACCTATTGTGACGATTGCTTTATCCATTGAGATGACTATATTTATATGACTACCTATTGTGACGATTGCTTTATCCATTGAGATGACTATATTTATATGACTACCTATTGTGACGATTGCTTTATCCATTGAGATGACTATATTTATATGACTACCTATTGTGACGATTGCTTTATCCAGTGAGATGACTATATTTATATGACTACCTATTGTGACGATTGCTTAATCCGTTGAGATGACTCTATTTATATGACTACCTATAGTGACTACCTAATCTACTGAGATGACTATCTAACCTATGGAGACTGCTTAACCTATGGAGATGACTACCTATTATGACTACCTTATTTATTGTGATTGCCTATTCTATTGATATGACCAATGCTTAATCTATGGAGATGACCAAGAATCAAACCTTAGCACGTTCTTTCATGCAAAAAGCTTCTTTCTTCATGGTGTCCCGGCTCTGGATGTTGGACTGGAATATGATAACCAGCACCTAACCTAATGTGACAACCTAGGAAGAACTGATATGGAAGTTGAACGATAGGTTATGAATTCTATTTTGTGAGACCAATGATGATTACTTATTATTCTAATCCACGTAAGAAGAAAAGTTATTAAAAATTAAAATTTTATGCCAGGATAAAGGCATGTTATAAATTTTTAAAATCACTAAGATGTAAAATCATAATGGATATATTTGAACACACAAAAAGCCTTTAAAAAATTATTTACTTAAATTCTTAGTGAAATATTATTTTTTGTTTTCTTGAATGATGACCAATTGTTGTAAATTAACAACTAATCCTAAAAATGAATTCTTAGATATAATTAAATATAAACCATTATAAATCCTAAACAAGAAGATAAAACTTTAATTTTAAATATATTAAAGTGTAATTAAAACATATGAATTAAAAGGGATTGATTTAAATAACCCTTATAAGTAATACTTAATATGATAAAAATGTTTTTGAAATAAAGCTTTTGAAGACAAAAGGTTATGTAAAAATTAAACATCATTATTTTAGAAAAATATTGTGTGAAATTTAAATTTTTTTTAAGAGAGGGAAATGTGCATAATATTTGCATATTTTAACCTCGGAGATTGAAAATAAATAAAAATAAATTAAATATTAAAACGCTACTAATTAAATATTGAAACGCTAAAAAATGTAAAACGCAAAAAATGTAAAACGCTAAAAGTATAAAACGCTATGATTAATTTAACACCTAAAAAATAATATAATAATATTTTATTGTTCCGAAATTCAAAATTTTATTCGTGCATATTATTCATATATTTGATTTGATCAACTATTCCAAATTATATATTCCGATTTATTCCAAATTCCAATATTCGACTGGATTAATTATGAAACATGATAATAACAATTTTGAGAAATGTGAACAACATACGATAAGGATATCAAGCCAACGATAACGTTCAACGATTTTATCAAACCTACGCGATTGATTCAAGCCTACAAAAAACGTACAAACTCACGCAACTCTAATAAACGATTTTATCAAACCTACGTAATAGAATCAAGCCTACGAGAACATTTGAGACTTATGCGCTAACCAAGAAGAAACCGAGTACAATCGAAACAGGAAAAACTTCTAGGACAACAAGCTCTCGATGACTGCTGAGAAGAAGCTTTGTTCTTTGTAGAAGAGGGGGAATGTTGATTAGTCTTATTTGAATATTATTTATTTTTAAAATATATTAACGTTATATCATTTGAATATCTTATATTATTTAAGTTGATTGTTTAATATGTTCAAATTAACTTTTTTTTATATATATACTATGTTTTCAGATATAAAGAAATAATAATATATATAATAAAATATTTAACAAATTTGAATAAATAACTTCAATTTCCATAAGATTATCTTCCATTTTTAATGATATATAAACTATATAACAGTTGACTATTATTGCTTATATAAAATAAGCAATCATATGCTTTCAGCAGCAGTGGTAATAACTTTAACTTACATAGCCACACAAAAAAAAAGATGCTGGTCAATTTGCATTCATAGCTATCACACTCACGATGTTAACTCATATCAGAATTTATTATGTTAGATAAATTGAAAACTAAAACAGTATAAATCTTTAGAAGAAATTATACAAATATATTGAAGCCTTAAGTTATTTACACAGCAATTATGCCATATTATAAATGAAACATTTGGTAACTATAAAATAAAAACCAGAGTGATATGATGAAAGCAATTAAGATTTTGTATATTATTGTCGCACCACCTCTAGTTGGCATATTATTATAACTTAAAAAATAATAGTAGTTTGTAATAACATAAAAAATATACTAGTAGTTAAAAATTTAACTCAAAACTGTTTTCCAAATAAAATAATAGCTCTTCTAAAAACACATAAAAAAGAGAAGAAAAGATAGTTAATTTATTACATCCATTGTGGGATGAATAATAAGATATTTAATTTTTAATAATATTTTTAAATAAAAAGATGACTTTAAAGAATTGAAAATAAATTGATACTTATATTTATTATCAAAAGCATTTATTAGTAAAATTATAAAACTGTCAAATACGCTTGTAAAAGTGGCATTTTACCTAATATTTTATAACCAATTATATATAATAGAGGATTATAAACTAGTAGTAGAAAGCCCGACAATTCATTATTTACGATAGATATCATGCCAAGTTCCAGCTAACGATATTAGGAAGCATCCAAGATCTTATAATTTTAAAAAAGTTTATCAGCCCTCAACCCTTAATAATTTGTAAAAGATATTCCCAAGTCAGGTGCAAGCTAATATTAATTTTGTGGTTCCAAGCCCAGTCCTACCCATTATAGTTTTGTAAATTTTTAGTTTTGTAAATTTTTTCCCACCTCGGTGATAATTAAATTTTTAATTGATTTATCATCACATGAAGGGGAAATATCTCATTTACCAAATAGTCTAATATGCAAAAAAAATACATATTCCGTATTAAGGGAAACTGGGAAGCCCTGGGCAAACCACTTATTAAAGAATCATGACAAATAAAATAAAAATAACCGACTCTTATATTTTTTTTGTAATATGATCAATTAAAATTATATCTAAAAAATAAATTGTTGTTTATTATATAAGGTTATTGTTGTTTTTCAAATAAATTTAATGTATATCTTGCATTTCCAATTTGTCAAAGAATTTGATAAGGGATATATATATTTTTATGTTAAGTAAAAAAAAATGCTATCTATTTAAATTACAAAAATGCCATTAAACACTAATGAAACTTATATGCAAATTATTTATATATCTTTTAAGATATTTTTTTTATTGACATATAAATTTAGGATAATTTTTTATTAAAAAATAATAAGGATTAATTATTATGTATTTAATAAAATTAAGAGCAAATCCTGTTGACATTTTAATTTTTGAATGAAAAAGCGACAAAATAAATCTGGGCGGTCGTCTGGAGAGGAAATAATTAATGTATAATTTCATATCATTTAGGGTTGTAAACAGCGTCTACATGAGCGGGAGGGGTAGGAACAGTTTGCATCCTATTTTTTTGAGGGGGTAGTAAGCTGCTCTAATGGGGGTGGGATAAATTATTTGGGGTTGAGATGAAA